AGATTCATGCCGCAGTTTGCCATGGTGGCTAAGCCCCTACATGATCTGACTGCCAAGAACCAGAGATTCAAGTGGGGGGGTGGAGGCTGCGTTTTTTGCCCTTCGTGAGCGCCTATCCAACGCGCTCCCACTCGACGATCCGGATTTTTCCCTGCCGTTTGTTCTCGACACGGACACTAGTGATACGGGTATAGGAGCCGTCCTGTCCTAGGTTAAGAACGAAGTAGAGAGAGTAGTCGCGTAAGGCAGCTGCGCATTGTCCGCTGCGGAACAGCGCAACTGTGTTACTCGCAGGGAACAGTTGGCCATGGTGTACTTTGTACAACAGTATAGGCCTTATCTCTACGGCAGAGCATTTTATTGTTCGCACGGATCACGTGGCCCTTCAGTACTCCCTGCGAGTGGACCAAACTTCCGGCCAGCTCTCACGCTGGCTGGAAATTCTCCAGGAGTACTCGTTCCACGTGATATTCCGTAAAGGGGTGCAGCATTCCAATGCTGACGCGTTATCCCGCCTACCCCAAGGGACGAGCTGTGCGTGTTCATCCGGCGCGGGTCGTTGTAAAACTCCGGCGGTGGGGCCTGCGGCCGTCATAGCAGCGCTTGACGAAGGGGAGTCTGCCGAGGTGGTCGCGCCGGGTGACAGTATTTTGCACCTTACGTGCACCGAGTGGGGGCAGTTGCAGATGGAAGATCTGTCCCTTATGGCTTTGCGGCGTCGCGCTGAATCAGGGGACAAGGAGTCTGCTCCCTCTGACGCCCCGCGACTGATCCTTCGGGATGGCCTTTTGATGTTGGGGGATGAAGGGCTGCACCATCATCGCATTGTGATTCCCACCACCCTCCGAGGCAAGCTGACTCAGGTGATGCACGAGGACAAATTGTTACATCTCGTGGTGCGGAAGACGTTAACGTTGCAGCGTGACTTTTATTGGCCGAAAATGTCGAGTGATGTGCACCACTTGATTAAGGGTTGTACGGACTATGCGGGCAGAAAACCGCCACTGAGGAAGTCCCAGCCTCCGCTGCAGTCCATCTCAGTGTCGCAGATTAACGAGTTGGTCACGTCGACATTCTAGGACCCTTTTCGGCCACGCAGAGGGGTAATAAGTTTCTCCTGGTTGGTGTTGAATATTCTTCGCGTTGACTGATGGCCTGGCCGTTGCCTGACCAGTCGGCAACTTCTATTGCTGAGGCGTTTTTGCATGGATATGTAATGGATAAATGGGTCCCCCACCAGCTTCACACGAATCTGGGGCGGAATTTTTCTTCAAAGCTGCTGCGCGAAGTTTGTGACACGCTGGGCACTAGGAAGATTAAAACGTCGCCATACCATCCCCAGATGGACAGGATGGTGGAACGCTTGCATAGAACCCTGACATCCATGCTGTCAGGCGGTTAGTGCGGCTCAAAATGATTGGGATCACCATGTTCTGGGAGTCCTGGCAGCATACAGGATGGCTCCCCATGCTTCCATTGGATTTTGGACCTATTTTCTCGTGTATGGAAGAAAAAAATGAACCTTCCATGGAGGTCCAATTGCGTCTGTCAGAGAACAACGTTAAACGATCTTGCCTATGCCCCTGCAAATTATGCTAAAGCGCAACTCGGCAGCACGCGAAGCGGCTAAGGCAAACACCGCCAAAGTGCAGGCGGCTAACGAACGGAATGCGGGGCAGCATGACCATGTGCTGCATTGGGCCATAGGGGACTGGGCGTGGTTGCACTGACCGCAGGTGACGTTGGAAACGTCCCCTAAATTGCATCGGCCGTGGCAAGTTCCCGTGGAAGTGGTAGAGGTCAAATTGCCACAGTGCGTGCATATACGGGTGGGCCGTCGCCGTTGGTCGTCCATCCGTCGCGGTTGAAGCCTTACGTTCCTCCCCAAACTGACATCTTCTCTCCAAGTTTTGTACGGCCGGTGTCTGATGAGTCCGACGAGCCAGTGGAAGCGGCCACGGAGAGCGTGCGTCAGGATTGTTTTGTGCCGCCCAGTTTCAGAGCCCCTGAAGGTTGGCGGGTCACGAGGTCTCACCAAATGCGAGGAGCTGTGGCCCAGCCCATGTCACCTGTGAAGCGGGAGATGGAACCTACTTCTCTGGGTCTTCTGGTTGAGCCCACATCCCCTGTGAAGAATGCGAAGATTGCCCCCATGGATGGACCGGCGTCGAGGACTCGGTCAAAATGTTTTAGATTACTTGGGGTCGCGCTTGCGTGTTACATGGAGGGGAAAATGTTTCTCTTTCTCTCTCTCCCTGCCTTCCTGAGTTGTAGCCTGGGTTTTGCTTTTTCATTGTGGATTGCTCCTTAACAAAAACCGTGGTTGTCTTCGTTTTTTTTAATGTTTCTTTTTGCATTACTCTTCTGCCTCAGGTGGTTATTTATTGTTAGTATTAGCCGGGACGGCTATCTTTTAAACGTGGGGGGGGGGGGGGGGATGTAATGACAGGGTGCCATCTGTTGACTAGGAGGGATGATCACGAATATGGGTGCGTTATATAAGAACCAACTAGAAGAGGGGCGAAATTGGGTTAAAGGTAAAAGGCGGGGTCAGTCGGGAAGCTCCGGGAACCTGGTCGAAGGTTCTATAAGTGGGCGTGGCCAGAGGCGGGGTCTGGCCATGCCGGGGAGTATATGTGGACATGTCCGTAGGTTTGGGGCTGTCGTGGGGTCCTGGGTCTTGGGTGCTGTCGCTGTCTTCGCCGTCATCTCTCTTCATCGTTCGCCCGCATGGCCGATCCTCTGCACGGCTCCCATGGTCGTCGCTATATTAGTCAGCCAGCTATATAGTTAGATGCCGACGATGGGGCTGTGTCAGCTATGCGTAGCCGTGTGTATACAGTGAGGGAAAAAAAGTATTTGATCCCCTGCTGATTTTGTACGTTTGCCCACTGACAAAGAAATGATCCGTCTATAATTTTAATGGTAGGTTTATTTGAACAATGAGAGACAGAATAACAACAAAAATACAGAAAAAAGCACGTCTAAAATGTTATAAATTGATTTGCATTTTAATGAGGGAAATAAGTATTTGACCCCTCTGCAAAAGATGACTTAGTACTTGGTGGCAAAACCCGTGTTGGCAATCACAGAGGTCAGACGTTTCTTGTAGTTGGCCACCAGGTTTGCACACATCTCAGGAGGGATTTTGTCCCACTCCTTTTTGCAGATCTTCTCCAAGTCGTTAAGGTTTCGAGGCTGACGTTTGGCAACTCGAACCTTCAGCTCCCTCCACAGATTTACTATGGGATTAAGGTCTGGAGACTGGCTAGGCCACTCCAGGACCTTAATGTGCTTCTTCTTGAGCCACTCCTTTGTTGCCTTGGCCGTGTGTTTTGGGTCATTGTCATGCTGGAATACCCATCCACGACCCATTTTCAATGCCCTGGCTGAGGGAAGGTTCTCACCCAAGATTTGACGGAACATGGCCCCGTCCATCGTCCCTTTGATGCGGTGAAGTTGTCCTGTCCCCTTAGCAGAAAAACACCCCTAAAGCATAATGTTTCCACCTCAATGTTTGACGGTGGGGATGGTGTTCTTGGGGTCAAAGGCAGCTTTCCTCCTCCTCCAAACACGGCGAGTTGAGTTGATGCCAAAGAGCTCCATTTTGATCTCATCTGACCACAACACTTTCACCCAGTTGTCCTCTGAATCATTCAGATGTTCATTGGCAAACTTCAGACGGGCATGTATATGTGCTTTCTTGAGCAGGGGGACCTTGCGGGCACTGCAGGATTTCAGTCCTTCACGGCGTAGTGTGTTACCAATTGTTTTCTTGTTACTATGGTCTCAGCTGCCTTGAGATCATTGACAAGATCCTCCCGTGTAGTTCTGGGCCGATTCCTTACCGTTCTCATGATCATTGCAACTCCACGAGGTGAGATCTTGCATGGAGCCCCAGGCCGAGGGAGATTAACAGTTATTTTGTATTTCCTCCATTTGTGAATAATCGCCCCAACTGTTGTCACCTTTTCACCAAGCTGCTTGGCAATGGTCTTGTAGGCCCATTCCAGCCTTGTGTAGGTCTACAATCTTGTCCCTGACATCCTTGGAGAGCTCTTTGGTCTTGGCCATGGTGGAGAGTTTGGAATCTGATTGATTGCTTCTGTGGACAGGTTCCTTTTATACAGGTAACAAGCTGAGATTAGGAGCACTCCCTTTAAGAGTGTGCTCCTAATCTCAGCTCGTTACCTGTATAAAAGACACCTGGGAGCCAGAATTTTTTCTGATTGAGAGGGGGTCAAATACTTATTTCCTTCATTAAAATGCAAATCAATTTCTAACATTTTTGACATTCGTTTTTCTGGATTTTTTTGTTGTTATTCTGTCTCTCACTGTTCAAATAAACCTACCATTAAAATTATAAACTGATAATTTCTTTGTCAGTGGGCAAACGTACAAAATCAGCAGGGGATCAAATACTTTTTTCCCTCACTGTATATATGTCGCCCAGTCATTGTGCTTGAAGTTTGAGAAATAAATAAGAAGCCCTTTACACGTTGTGTCTCGGAAGTCGTTCACTACACTTGCACAGGGACGGCCCAAATAATGGGTGTATCCCACACTTTATCTCACCACACGTGAACCCATTTACACACTTAGGTGGACACGAGGTGATTGAAGAAATTTATCCTCGTTGCCTCCGCTGCCGTGCCCAAGATGGCATCGAACCGGCAAATATTGTGCAAGTCCAGTGCGGTGAAAATGACACCACTGACAGTTTAACACGTAGCAGTAGTTGGGCTTTCGCGACCAAAATGATCTCTAATGGAGGTTTTTTGGGTCAGATCGCGTGTATATAAATGTATCGTTAAACCCGCCACCACTAGTTAGTAAGGTTTGTCACGTAAACAAAACGTGCCAATTCGTTACTAGTTCAGCACACTTGTGTGTTCGAGAGTGTTGGAGAGTAAACTCTGCTGACACCACTGTGGCAGCGGCTGCCTCGTTTCCCAGCTAAAAAAAAAACTTTAAAAATTACACTCAAAAGCAAATGCCACCAAACTGAAACCAAATCCATCCACTTGTTTTCAAAACACTCTCATTCATACCCACGCACATCCTCCGCATTTGCATTTTCCGTTTCGTAACTTTGCACATCGCTTCAGGCACATCAGTGTTTTGATTTCAAATAATCTATTTTTACATTCATGAGTACTGATGTGACGGCACTTGGGAAAGGCAGATGTGGCAGAAAGGCACCGTGTTTAAGCAAAAAATTAAAAAAATTACTTCACTTGTTTTAAGCTTTCAGCCTCTTGAGAATAAAAATTATCGCATTTTATGGGTTTATCTGCTGCCAGAGTGACCAGCAGGATGATCTGTTATCGAGTTATATCACCTAGAACCTACCGAACACACCGGCGCGTTCTGGCGCCGTGCAGGATGCAGGCAATTGACGTAGATGCACGAAGGCTCGTACTGCCCCTCCGGTACAGGGACGTGAAGTACGTTTGCACTGCTACGCGGCGGCCGACAATGACACGCGCTCTTTTTCAAGTGTTCAGGCACAAGCGAGCGCATGTCCTGTTACGTCGTTGGTTTCTTTAACACGTTGGTTTTACAGCCGATATTACCATTCACAATCACTCCCAAATCAATGATGAATCATTGCTTGTTCCGCTTTTTACAGCCGATATTACCATTCACAATCACTCCCAAATCAATGATGAATCATTGCTTGTTCCGCTCTGTACTAGTTATCTAATATTATTTTAATTTATATAGCGCCTTGGCTTAAGGCGCTGAACAAAGAATGAGCTATTTGTACAGCAAAATAGTGTGATGAAATGAGTTAATGAGAACGATGGTAGTACATGAATATGATGATACATGAAATTAACGATATTAGTCACGAGAAGATGCATTGCTGCAACGGTTGATAGACTCCTACATTCATTACATCAGCATTCCCATTACGTGGTAAATAATTATTTAGTCTTCGATGCAAATCCTCGGCTTGGGTTATACTCAGGCCAACAGCAAAACAAAACTGCACGAGAGACGGAAGAAACAATTCAAATTAGACGGTCGAAATCAGAACAAAAAAGAATGTGGCTTTGAATAGATCGGCGAACTACCCGAATCCTGACAACCCCCGTGAATAACCGTGGGTGGGGGTCATAGGTGATAGTGAGGGTCATGGCTTCAGTGTGGGGTGGCTCCGTCTCGGTGGCACAGTGAATGACGACTTTCCGGGTGTCACGCGCACACCTGGTGACCTCACTCCCCATGGAGTCATCACATTACAACTGTGAATGAAAGCCACCGAGCGTGCATCATCTCACACTGGAAAACTCCCGAGTGCGGTGGTGTTTGCCGCCTCCAGACTGTTGGGTACAAAATACCGTCTTGAGTTGACAAGTCTGTTGAGTTATTCCAGGGGCTATTGCAATCAATCCACTCACGCAGAACTTCCCAACCTGACGTACGGAATTGGGTTCATATTCATCTCCATGATCTGATTGTCTCACTTCAGCATACAGTATATGAGGTATATTACGTGCTGCATAATGTTTGACATTTAGTTAACTTGTAGATTTTCACAGCCAATATTGATTCATATTTGATTTTTACAGATTGTCTGGTGATTGTCATTCCAACTTCCGGGATCTTACCTGTCAGATGCTTTACGCGGTTTCAAGCAAAAACTTTGCATTGTCCAGTCGCTAAGTTTGGCTGTGAGAATCGCTGTTCCAACTCCCCCACGGTGAGCTCAAACGATAATAACCGGCGCATCACTAAAAACACTTGTGCACCAGGCGACCTCAAATGAGCACATTTGGCTACGTATGGTGCGAAAGAAGTTAATCATACATACATACACGTGACAATATAATTCGTTGGGCTTGCAACGTTTAGAAGGCCCATGGGTATCGCGATAGACGAAAGGCCGATGACGTCTCGGGTTGAGTGGTCGTGCATCTTGGACGTCTGTGGCTCTTAAAGCAGGCTACTGGGGAACGCGTGTACATGCGCGCCTTTCTTGGGAGTCACCGACATTACGGTGCCATTCAGCGAGTCGTCCTCCAGGAGGCGAATTACTCCCTCCACCACCGAGCAGGGCCTGCGCGCATGGACACGGAGTGAACAGTGATCAGCGCGCTCGCGAGCGGGCGGACGTGCGGGCGGGCAGCGGTTGCGCTCGCCGCCGGTCAGCAATCGTCCTTAGGCACTTTGTATTCAGACCATTGCAATTCTGTGATTACGATATTCCCGACGCTTTCATGAGCCATAATTCTGAGAATCGTTTCCTTCAACGCTCTTTTCTTTTCTTCACAAAAATAGTTTCCTCCCTGTCCTCACATTTTATATTGTGCTGTATTGTACGCTACATTTTTAAGATGCGGGTGAAAGGGTGGTTGGGGTGCTTTAGGAAAAACGGAACATAGCAATGAAGAGCAGCATAAATGATGGATGTGCCTCGAGCAGACTGCGTTTAATCGGTGCCTTTCACCTCCTATGACTTGGATAAAAACGCGGACAACAAAATGGAACAAAAGTGAAAATCTGCAAAATAAGTGAAGAGGGACGCAGGCTTGGAAATACACCGAGAGAGAAAGAGGAACAGGTGGACTAGAGAACGCACGCAGGTCAGAGAAGTAACATTGACCGGTAAGTGGGGCTTGAGCAAGACGCATCATCGCAAGCGGGGACGACCTCTGGAGGCCGAGACAAACGGCAGAGTGGCAGCCAGAGCGGGGGAACGTGCCCAACTAGATGCCCCACTGTGAAGTCGACAGTCAGATAATGTTTCAAGGCGTACATTCTTTAACCGGGTGAGAAATTTAAGAGACCCGGGGATGGAGTCTCATTTGCAAGAGCGACCTGGGTCACCTACAATGACAAAAGCAAACAAGACGGGGCAGCGCTGTGGCAGGTGCCAGGTGAATCATTGGCTTGAGGGACGTCTTCATCTAGCAGTGGATAGGTCATGCCCGATGACGACTGTGTAAACATCAGCACTGGGTAGTGGTGTTGGGCCACCCACCGCCTTGTGCGTCATGCTGGCCTTCACAGGCGTGGATTTTTATCCGGCTCCTCTGGTTTTTCCCTCCACATTTAGAATATATTTCCACATGATAAACCACTTCGTTGAGCTATCATTTTTGGTAACCAGGTCGCTTCTAAAAAGAGCTAAACAGCTCAGTGGGCCTTACCTGGTAAAATATTTTTTTTTAATTTAGTTTAGTTTATAGGTGCTCGCTATCAGCAATTTGTCTTGTTCTAACATCACATGTGCGAGCATTCACACAGTGCAGTTCAGCAGCCAACCCCCGAGACTCAGACTTACTCTTTGCAAGCCCATCCTAAACAGCCCCTGGCTCCTTTTTATATTCACGGTCATAATTACGATTCACAGGTCTCGTCATTCCAGAATCAGAATATTTATTTATACTTGTATATCCTATTGTGTAATTTGCAGTGCAATATTTTTCAAAACGTGGACCGTGATGCCATCACACACAATGGCCTACAAATGATGTCACGGGACCTGTAACGTCCACTGTGAAGCAGAGTTATGATTAGTACTGTCAGAATCAGAATCTGTATTTATACTGCAGGAGGAATCCGATGAGCTATAAAGCTCTTTTTCACAGACGGTTCAGTAGGGGCACGAGGTCAGAACATTACAACAAACAAAAAGAAGACTGGCGTAAACAAATAACTTAAAAAAAACATACAAATTAAACTAAACTATAATTTCTTATCTTCCCAGATAAAGCCCACTGGGCTATTAACACATTTTTCAAAAGCAACCTGGCTCTCGCCAATGATAGCTCAACAAATAATTCTAGCGTGACTATATGCAACAAGCCACGAACAGAGATGTCCATTAAAACAACAGTACAAAAACACGATAGTCATATGAAGGTGAACAAATCACCCAAACACATACAAATAAAACTAAACCATCCCCATCCTACCAGGCAAAGCCCGCTCCTGGCCGAAGGCCACCGCGTGCCATGTCAGTCATGGGATTCTTTGACCGTACTTCACCACGCTGGTCAGTGCTGGGGGAATTTGTAGCTTGGGGTGCTATAAGTAGCTACTCAACCCGAGCTATAAATGCCCGGATTATATAAATGCCCTGATTGCATGTTCGTGTGGTTAATGCAGACAGGATTCCTTGCAAAAAGGTTTCCGTTTGGTGTTTTAACATGTTCACACCTGTTTTATTGCCAGAAAGGGTAAAACCTATTCTTATATTTTGATACTGGCAATAAAGGTCCCATATTACACCTCACCAGGTACTCATTTGAGATTGAGTCGACCTAGACGAGGCCCAGGACCGGTTCAGAGCAGGAATCGAACTCGGGTCGCCGGGTGTGTAGTGCAGTGCGCTAACCACCACACACACATATCCGGGCGCACACACACACAGACACTCTCAGTGTGAGGCTGACTCATTCCATCTCACGCAGGATCGCTCAAGCTGAACAAAATAGTTCAGCGGTTCAATTTGCAAAGTGCGAGTTTGCCTTTTAAGTTAATGTAAAAAAAAATAACGGAAGCTGGTTTGTAGTGCGGGTGTTCGTAAGTCCAGTGTTCGTAAATTGAGGACTGCCTGTACGTATCTTGAACCATGCTTATCGGAAGTACACTACCTCTCCCCAAAATAACACGTGCACAAAACACATTCGCGCACAGGCATGTGTAAACACAACACGCACACAGTTAAACATGCATTTTTATACGAACAATTGGCATGAACCGTGTGCAGAAACGATTGACAGACTACACCCTAGCCATACCTGAAAATGCAAACTGTTGTGACATAGCGACTTACCAAAGGAAGCTGGTGAAACTTGTGTACACAGGTGCGCTTTGTGGATATTTTAACATCTCTGATGTCACCGTGTTTTCAAGGCATTGTGAAATGCAATCCCCCAAAGCCCTACAACCTTCCCGCCACATTCGGCCAAATCACCTCTCTGGGCACTGTAAACTAAGCGGTAGGTCGCGCTCAGCCGTCACACATTGAGAGGGGTTTCTGCTATGGAAAGGTGGAATCGCCAGCAATGGATCAGAAAATCTGCCAACGCAGGCCTCGTGGTTATGGCGGAGACGCTAGCATACGCGTCACCAGCTTGGGCTCAGCGGTGGCGCAGAGGTTGACGGTTTGAAATCCTTGCAGGTCCCCCCCAGTTATTACCATAAAAACCATGAAATAATACGCGCCATCTGCTTCACTTGCAGTGGTCTAGTGGCATCATGGAAGATTAGGCCATAGTGCGCCGAAATCACGGTCCACATTTGCCAAATTTGAAAAAGATTACACCGCAAATTACTTTTTTTACTTAATTTGAGAAAACACAAGGCAACATCGCTCTTTACTGACAGAATAATACACGGAGCCAGCTGCCACTGGGGGTGCCCCTAGGCCAGACTCACACAGCACCATTGCCCCTAGCGTGAACCACAGCAGCTCCTTCCTGCGTGACGATCGGCCAGCGCTATAAGAATGGCAGCGCCCAAATTCCACACGCACTCAGTTCTTAATGTCGTCATCGCCACTCACTGCATTATCGGCGTGTCCATGAGAGTCTTTACCAACCCCTCTCTCAGGTCCTCAAACTGCCCCATGGTGTCAGCCCTCCCCACCGTGCTCAGAAGCGGTGTGTCCACGTAGGTGGGACACACGCAGCACACGCGCACGCCACGGCCCTGCAGCTCACACGCGCCCTGCTTACACACGGATACGCGCAGGACGGGGACGCACGGGGACGCATGGTGACGCACAGGGTCAGGGGACGCTTTCCCGGGAGCAACACGCGACGCTCGCAGCGAGACAACGCTCACGTGAAGGTGAAGCCCGGAGACACCCCGAGGCAGTTACGCGGTGGCCCAGTGGTGGCGCGGTCACCGCTCGTTGCAGAGGTTCGCGGCTTGAAAATTGGCTCGGGCACCCTGCTAGGGCGCGTATTTGGGGTCTATACACCTCGCTGCACCAACCACAGATACGACGCCGCCGACAGCTTCTCAGATACCGTGACGTCTCCCATAACGAGTATGCAGTTGCGTGCCAGCGTCGTGGACCGAAGATGCCCAATTCCAAAAAATGACACTGCAGCTGACTCAATTGTAATCACGCATGGCGGCCAATCCTGAGTCACCTTGTTCCACACAAGGACAGCTGCCACTGGGGTGTGCGCTTTGAATGTTTGGGGTGAGATGCTACGTGAGGTGCTTTGAGTTACTGAAAAATTTCAAGCAAGCGCTGCACAAGTGTAAAGATTATGATTATTTCATAGTACATTTTCATGGAAAGACACAGTAGATTATTGATTATCTGGGGGCTTAGGGGGGAAGGGGGCGCTGGATTTTAAAAAGCACCGGATAATCACTAATTATTTAAAACAGCTTATTTTTGCACATTATTGTTGTGTGTATGTTTTTTGTGTGTTTTAAATTTGTTTACAAATAGACAAATAAATATCCTACTATAAACAGTTCCTGTATTCAATGCGCTGTACTTACTACTTCAATCTCGAAGACTCTGCATTGGGTGATGATAGAGGGCTGTAGAATTAAGAGGTGGCCATTCAGAGTCTGAATCCAACTCCATCAGCTGTGATGGAGATTTGCCGGATCGGCCTCGGGCCTCCGGATAATGTTGAAAGCCGGGTAATCGATGATGAACTGTATTTTAAAATAAAAAAACAAACTCCTTGTTTTTTGTACAATTTCACCTTTCGCGCTTGAAATCAAAAACTCACCGCGATGGCGCGGGAAAATCCGACGACGCCGTGCTTGGATGCACAGTATACTGGCGCATACGGGATGACGCCCAGGCCTGCAAACACACAGTGGGCACAGCGGCACAGCTCAAACCCCCCGCAGTGCGACCAACGAGACAACAGCAGCAGCCGCAGCCCGAGCCAAACAGCGCCTGTATACAGCGGGGGGTGGTGGGGTGGACACCGGCGTGGCTCCCGGGCCACTGCCGTGCACCCCCCGGCGTTACGACAACGTGCCAGCACTGCTCGGGAGATGAAATTACGTTGAGCCGGGTGAAACGGCAGCAAAAGGTTGAACAAGCAGAGCGAGTCGCCGATGGAACAATCGCTATTAACAGGCCTCCCCCCCCACCCTCCCCGGGTCTGTCGGTCCCCTGCTGGACGAAGGAGGCCTGTTCAAATGCCGGGCCCTGGTCACGTGGGTTGTGCCTCACCACGCTGGTCAGTGCGGTTTGGTGATGGATAGGGCCCAGGGCCCGATCAAATATCGCTCGCCAGTGACCCTATGCTGACATCAATCTCATCTAAGCAGCAGTTTGAAAGAGTCACTCACTGGCCATCACTCGTGACCCCTTCTAGACTGCTGCCCTTGCGGGTTCGGTGTGGGAGGGGGTGTGGGGTGAGGGGGGGGGGTGTTGGATGGACCGGAGGCCACGTGATTTGAGCGACGTGACCTGGTTAGGCTTGGCACTTTTCTGTCCGGGCCAGGCCCTCGCCCTGGCTCTAGCCACTGTTTTTTCTTTAGAACTGCTTGTTGTTGTGTTTAGTTTGTTGTCCTTTCCCCCCACAACTCCGATTAGCACGGTTGCCTATGTACGGTGCGAAAGAAGTTCAACGTACATACATAAACAACTCGCCAAGATGGGGGCGTGCAGCCAGCATCGCTTGAGTGAATCTCGATCACAAACAGACGAATGCAGCGTCCGTTGTTCCGTCGACAGGTCCACGCTACTCCCACGCCGTGGCTGCCATTGACTGAGCGTGAAGCAGTTTTTGCGGATACAGCGAACCCCCCACATTTTTACCACGGAGGGGCTCATTTATTATTTTCAACGACCCCGCGTCCAGTTTAAGCGGGAGGCTCCTTAGGGGGTACGGTGGAGCAACCGCGACAATCATGGAATCGTTTCCAGATGCGACGACGTTCGCGGCGGCTGGCCACACGACGAGGACGAGGACCGTGAGGAGGGCTGCTCACCTGCCATCGACGCGATGTTGATGACGACGCCACCCTTGCTGAGGATCTCAAGGGCCAGGTACGTGCTCCTCACTACCGCCACCTGCACACAACGCATGGCGGGTGCAGGGGCCTGATAGTGTGAAGCCGCCGCCGCCGCACACGCGCGGCCTCAGTAGCATCCGTGTGCAGCATCGAGCGGAATTCGCTCGATGCTGCACACGGACGCTACTTCAAGAGCCTCGGAGCAATTGGGGGCTACGCTTTAATTAATCTGCTGGCAGCACCCCGCCCCCCCACTCCGGTGGAAATTCCGCATTCCCATTGGCAGACACCGGTTTGTCCACAGAATGACCACTGCTGACTTCCCACAAGCAGTATTAATATTATCGAATCTATGGGTCTCCGTGTAAGTCAATGAGTCTCCGTGCGAATCTATGGGTCTCTGCAAGTCTATGGGTCTCCGTGCGAGTCTATGGGTCTCCGTGTGAGTTTATGGGTCTCCGGTGCAAGTCGATGAGTCTCCGTGCGAGTCTATGGGTCTCTGTGTGAGTCTATGGGTCTCCGTATGAGTCGATGAACTCGCATCCACTGCGCAAGTTCTCCGAGAGCACATCACCAGGGTGACGTTCATGGTCTACATGCCTCCACCAGGGTTATGCTGATGGTCTACACGCACGCGACAGCTTGCTGTTGAAGGTCTACACGTACCAGGTTGATGTTGAAGGTCTTCTCCCACTCGGCTTCATTGTTGATACCGGCGTTGTTGATGACGATGTCGATCGCCCCAAAGTGACTCTTGGTCTTGTTGAAGGCATCTGCGTGGCAAGATCCACAATGGAAAGGGGGCGAAGCGTCGTCTCGCTGCCGATCGCAATGCTCAGTCCCGGCCACCGGAGCTTCTGGACAAATGTGTTCCATAACGTTGGTTTAAAAACGAAAATTTTTTATTTCACCAGGTAAGGCCCACTGAACTATAGAGCTATTTTTCAGAAGCGACCTGGCCACAAATGATAGCTCAACGCAGTGGCTTATCACGTGGAAATTTATAAGCAGTCAAATACTCTAAACGTGTGATGTTGTTTCTAAATGTGGAGGGAAAAACCGGACATGCAAACTCTAAATATACAGGCGTCAGGGTCGGGTTCGAACCCACAACCTCCTGTATACCAGGTGAGGGAGTGAACATCTCACTACCTGTGCTGGGTGGACTTCGCATCCACCCGACACAGGCCGTGTGACTGCGCATGGGAAGGCAGTGGCATTATTCTCCTGTTTGTCTGCACGGTGGCGTGAAGTCGGTTGCCTTTACGTTCGTGTGCGTTCGGTGCCAGGGAACATGTTTGTGTGTTGTGGCAAAGGGCCTGTGCCTGTGGGCATGGCCTCTTATCTGTCATTCAGGTGTTTGTGTTTGAATGCATTTGTGGGGAGCGGTAGTGTAGCGCTTAGCAATACGCTGCGCTAAAAACTCGGCGACCTGAGTTCGATTTTCCGCTCACGGCCACCAACACCAGTGGCGATTATTTAAACCAGTCCTGGGCCTCAAATGGGTACTTGATGCGGTGTGTAAAACATCACCACTCAGGAGACAACCCACCCCCTCATGAGCTGTCAGCCTTCATAGGTATTCGCTTACAGCACTTGCCCCAAAAGTCTATTAAGGCTACACGGAGGTTCTTTGTCTTGTGTTTTCATTTCCAGGGGGCGGTAAAACCTGCTTAGCAGGAAAAGCCGTGTGTTCATGCTAAGAGGCCATTAAAGCAGGGACAGTGGGGCCCACATTACAATAGATAAGGATCTGAAGTAGATTTCGGTGTTATTGGTGGCGTCCAGAGAATACTTGACCCTCTTGCTGTCTTCGTGGCCTGGGAGGTGACGGCCAATGTGCACGGAATTTTATGGAATGATGTCGTGATGCTTTAGAAGGAACCTGAATTAAGATATTACTCTTGATATGAACCGGGTATTCCTTGTCAATACAAACATGATCTGGGTATTCCTTGTTAAACTAAATAACTTATTTATATGATATTATCCAAATTGTAGTGGCGTATTAGCATTTATATACGCACACAAAAATATACATATCTCCCGTATAGCCTTAACAGACTCTTTGGGCAAGCGCTGTTAGCGAGCAGCACCTGTGTGTGTCTGGGTTTTGTTCTATTCAAACGGCTTTGGTGGACAAGAGGGGTAGGGTAGTGCGTTTGCGGCTTGTTGCATCGATTCACGGCTCAAATTATTCGTTGAGCTATCATTTGCAATCGTCAGGTCTCTTATGAAAAAATGAGTGAATAGCTCTGTGGCGTTTACCTGGTAAGATAAAAAAAACATAGTTTAGTTGTATTTGTACATTTTTTTAAAGTTATTTGATTACCTTTCTGATACTTTGCACTCTTATCATGTTTTGTATTTTTGTTATTGTAACGTTCTGACCCGCCCCTACTGGACATCTGTGAAAAAGAGCTTTCACTCATTGGATTTCTCCAGTATAAATATTCTGATTCTGAAAGTATTAACCGTAACATTACGCACCATCAGCTTCACAGTGGACGTTACAGATCCCTCGACATCACGGTCTTTGTGCAAGTCTATGGGTCTCGGTGTGAGTCTATAAGTCTCTGTGTGAGTCGATGAACTCGTATCCACTGCGCTACATGATAGCTCAACAAAGAATTTGAACTGTCAGTCTATGCACAATGGCGTGATGGCATCACAGTCCACGTTTGGCCAAATTGTGACAAAAATTACACCGCTAATTACTCAAGAGGATATACAGCACAGGAATCGTAATGCCCTACTGTGAAAACTTGGGCATTACCCTCCAGGAAACGAATTACGAAGCTCAGAGAGGCTTTCCTGGGTAAACATGCAAAACAATAATAATCATGAAACAGCTCAGATGTGTGCACTTGAGGCATGTATGTATGTTGAACTTCTTTCGCACAGTATGTAGCGAACCATGCTAATCGGAGGTGTGGGGGGACACTGCTAGAAGCGCCTGTGTGGGAATGCTCCAAGTGCAGGCGTCGCGTGCGAGCAATGATCAGCATAGCAAGTGTGGGTCAGGGAGCTGTGCTGCTGTTGAACAGCACTCACGGTCCTGGACCCAATCCACGTGTTAAATGAACTGTGTGAGCCTGCCATGCGTTACACAAGTGTACGAAACATCATCTTCCTTTATGAATGTGTTCAATAAAATGAATGCTGCCTACATCACGTGGTAACATGTCGACACATGGCATGGATTTATGGAAATTATTTGGACTTTACCCTGTAGTATATTTTACTATACTTTACCCTGGAGTGAGTAATATATTCTCCCTGTAATGCCAACGCACAAACAACGCACGCCCTCAACACAGCTTTTCATCAATGCATAAGGTAAATACGATGATAGTGTATGATGTGATGCAATTGTGCAGTGTAGTAGTGTAGTGTAGGATTGTGTTCATGTGGTGTAATGTAATTGTGTAGTGGTGTAGTGTAGGATTGTGGTGGAATATAAATGTGTAGTGTAGTGGTGTTAGTATAAGGGTGTGGTGATAAGGTGTAGTACAATGGTTTTCATGTAGCGATGTAGTGTAGCAGTGCAGTGAAGCATAGCGCTGGAGAATAATGATGTACTGTAATGATGGTGCGGTAAAGTGTAGGCTGTAGTGTAGTGGTGTAGTGATAGGATGTCGTAGTTTTGTAGTGTGCCCATGCAGTGCGGTGTAGAAGACGTGACCATCACAAACCCTGCAGCTCCGTGGCACTGGTAACGTCACATTGCAGAAATATGCTCTTGTCTGCTCCAAATTGAGAATCCAGTTCGGACTTTGCTGCCTGTCCAACAGTGGGGTTGATGTCAACCAAAGACACCTGCGCAGAGAAAGAGTCGTGTTCAGTGGTGGAGATGTAGGCTGGTACATGCCAGTTCGCCACAATGGCCAGACGTGCATAGCGGCTCTCTTCAGAACGGTTCTGCAGAGGAGGAAACGGCATGTGAGTGTGGACAGCTGCAGGATGAAGAGGCTTCATCATCGCGGCGCTCCGACACTTCCTACACATACTTTGACTACCCATGTTTTACGTTAAATGCACAGATAATCACCCACAACACCCCCCATGTCCGAGCACACGAGAGAAGTTGTACTGCATGTGGGTGGCTTTCGGAGAACTTTGATCTTAAAAGTAAATTCAACTTTAATTAAGCATGCAGAAATGTCAATTTATTAGATGCCAAGGGTCGAGGCTGCGAATTTATTTAACTCGAAAAAGTGCCACTTAAGCAGAGACTTTGCCCTTTGACACATACGGCTCGGCACGAAAACAAGCAGTCAACAGTGAATGCGCCGTGTGCAAGACACACACACATCATCATCAATCCACGGCTGAATGAAGGTCTGTTTCCATATCATCACCATTCCCAAAGGTCTTGTGACACCGCAATCCATCTCAATCCATCTTGAAATGCTTGAACGTCGACGACTGTTATGACTGCCACCCCAGGTCGGCCCTGAATCCACCGGAACAGAATCCCTGGCACCATCTCACCTATAAACCAGGTTGACCGCCCCCATCGCACACCCTCAAACCCAGAAGCATTTGCACTCCACTTGATAAGGCATCCTCCACGATAGGTGAACAAGGCAGCAGAAGGACCCGTCACAAAGCTGGACAACTGCAGCTCATACCCACTTGCCACCGCGTCCAATGCCCGAACAGTGTGCTATCGGGTGGGCAGGATGGTGAGTATAAATGAGCTCACCGACAACTGCCCTCGGACAACAACAAAAATCACGACAGATAAAATATTCTCCCCCCCTCGTCATGCATCGTCTCCTCATTTTTTTTGTTTAGTGGAGCCAAGTGGGCCGAGGGCACATTTGCACCATGGACGGCAGCCAACCCCTAAGATATAGGAGCAGGTCACATGGTTTTATTTGGAGCATCACAACGCAAGGACAAAGATCCCCTGTATAGCCTGAACAGACTGTTGGGGCAAGTGCTGTTAGCGAGCATCTATGAAGGCTGGCATGGCACACGAGGGCCGCCTTGTCTCCCAAGCGGTGATGTTTACACACCGCACCAGGTACTCTTCTCAGGCTGAGTCGACCTAGGGGAGGCCCATTACCGGTTCAGATAATCGTCACTGGTGTTGGTGGCCATGAGCGGGAAATTGTGGTGATGCAAAATAAAGTCACGTGTGTGTGTCCCTCGACACGATTCTTTCCGAGGTTGTGCACTGAAATATTATTTGAGTGCCTTGGGCCACGATGCATTTTCAGTAGGATCCTATTTGAGGGTGTTTTTTTCTGATTCCTCATTCAATCATTTGCCCATGGTGGAGAGTGTACTGTAGTGAACGTATGGGACCCACACATAGAAGGTAATAACTCTGAAATCTAAGGCCAGAAGCATAATTTTCAATGCCAACGTTCTGTTTTATTCATGAGCAATTGACTTTCCTCCACGGGGCTAGTGATTACAGCAAAATTTATTTTTAAAAACACAAATCCTTCGTCAATTTTAACTTCACCTGGTCTCCTCAGCAGGGTGTGGCCGATTTAACCCATGCGAGTGAAACGCGCTTTGAGAGTATTTGGCTGCTATACGTATCTACATGATAAGCCACTTCGTTGCGCTATCATTTGTGGCCAGATTGCTTTTTAAAAAGAGCTATAACGCTCAGTGGGTCTAACCTGGTAAAATAAAAGTTTAGTTTTAGTATATTTGTTTTCAGTGATTTGCTTACATTTTCTATAATTTTCACTCCTATCTTTTTTTGTATTGTTTGTTGCTTTAACTTTCTGACCCACCCCCTACTGGACATGTGTGAAAAAGAGCTTCATAGCTCATTGGATTTCTGAAGGATAAATAAATATTCGGAATCTGAGTGGGCGGCAATGTGTTGTTTTGCGTTCAACAGACCACCCCGTGGCTGGAATGTGTCCTCGCTTCACATTTCGCTAATTGTGCTGTGAAAACATTGAGAGATCTTACTCTGAGAATTGATGATTGCAATTTCCTTTTTCTCATGAGGGAAAAGTCAAATGTAAATATTGAACAATCCAGCCTCCTCTCTGGTGCACACTGGCACTTCCTCTATGTGCATGGAGACCCTGAGATTATAGCGCTCTTACCCTCAGCGGTTTTAGTCTCTGCTGAGGCAAAGCCAAACTGTGCTAATCATCCTTATATTTACCGAGTCCCTGCAAATGTATTTGGAGCGACCTTAAAAGGTGTCTGACGGATTTGTAAGCCGTATTGTACGGCCTACATGTCTTCTAACTTGGCGCTCGCTGCAGGGCGTGTACAAAAGTGGGGTTGGCGGATCATACATGTATATGTATGTTGAATTTATTTCACACCATATGTAGCCAACCGTGCTAATCAGACAACAAACTTGTCCTATAGGGGCAGGAAGAGGCCTGTAAGAGACTAAAGTAAGAGGGCTGTTGACCTTACACATCAAATTTGTGACAAGAAAAACCCAAAGTACAGGAATAATAGCGCAGGCTGTAAATCCACGTTTCAAATTACTCGGCTTCTTCGCATCGCGTGCAAAACCATCAGCGCTTCCTTGAAACGTGTAGTGTGGTCCTATTGCCTGTCAGTCGATCGCAATCACTCAAATTTACTTTGAGAGTGACCGCAACATCACCAAATTATAATTTAAGTTTTAAGACGATTAGTGCCACAATGCATTTCTTCAGGAACTGCTCGTGGTTTTTTTTGCTGCCAAATGCACATGTTTCTTTGTGTGACCCATCTGATACGGGGTCTTGAGTATTCTTCCCCTTTCCAATGGCTATTTCCCCTGGTTACGCCGGTTCACATGCACAAACGAAACAATGCGGTTATTCCGCCGGGTTTTATTAACGCTACTAATAATAGCACGAGTTCAGCTTGTAATTTGCTGCTGCACAGCATTCGCTCAGAGAGACAGAGAGAGAGGGTGACTCAAGAGGCTCCGGGAGGAACCAATGACAAACAGAAAGGCAGCAGCAGCCAGGCTGTAAACCGGTGACAACTACCCAAGTTCTGCGGTCCTCTATTCCAGGGGTCGGCAACTTGTAGCTCCGGAGCCGCATGTGCTGACTCTTTCACTTCCTCCATGCGGCTCTTTGGCTGCCCCCTTGCAGGCAGTCGCTTTCTTTTTTTAAACTTAGATCTTAAACGTAATTTAATGTAAAGATGATTGATTAAATATGGCAGGGAATAGGGGTCACTATGGAATGTCTTGATGACAACAAAATGTACAACAGTCAAACTGTAGTGTTAAAGAATAGGGGGGAACAGGGAAAATGTAAATAGGCGCAGTTTATTCCATTACCTATTTTGTTGATTAAGTCAGCATGTGTGTTGTTGTTATTGTTATCTGCTGTATACCTTGTGCTGTGTTTGTGTACAAATGGCTCTATGTGTGATGTGGCTCTCAAACTATTTTTTGATCAAAGACAAAAAAAAATGTCTCCTTTTTTCAAAGGCCGCCGACCACCTGCTCTATGAGTGACAATGTTACCGGCCAACTAATGACCGGTTTACATGTGGGAGCACCCAGAGAAACCCTACGCATACGAGGGGGGCAACACCGATAGATGAAATTTATACACCGGCTCCAGGGGAGCAACGACCGATTTCAACTGGGGGTGGCTGTGCAAGATCCGGCTGTGCCCCCCCCCTCCTCCAGACTCATACTTATAACAATGTTAGGCTATAACTATACTATATATTGTTTTCGTTGGACCGTGTATTGGCTTTAGAGGAAGATAGTCTCACAGGGACAGTATTGATAATACAAAGATGTAAAGGTATAAACACTCACAATTAAGTTTATCGTGATTCTTGCTTTCATGCCGGCCCCATCGCTCTAAGATTCCCTCAAAGAGGGTTGATCCGGTAACTTTACGCTCCTCTGTTGATACGATAACCAGATGGCTTAGTCGGAGATTGGTCCATGGTAGACCGCAGCTATTTTGTTTATGAATATAAAAAAAAACAATGTTTGCCTGTTAATTCGGGCCCCCCCTTGTGGCCGGCTGGGCCCCCTCTGTGTCGCGTCACGGCTGCCACGTACCCCCACGCTCCAGGGCGTGTGCAAAAGTTGGGTTGGCGGATCACACACAGATCGCGAAAATATATGTGCTGTATGTTGAACTTCTTGCGGACCGTACGTAACCATCCGTGCTAATCGTGGGTGCGGGGACAGGACAACAAACCTGTCCGATAGGGGCAGAGGGCTGCTGACCTTACATGTAACATTCGTGATGAGAAAAACGGAACGTTGGCATTGAAGATGACGCTTCTGGCCTCATATTTCAGTGTTATTACCGATCTATGGGTGCCATCCGCTCACGGCACTACACTCTCTGCCACAGGCAAATTAGTTTCATGAGGAATCGGATAACCCCCCCCCCCCTCTACATGATAGATGTATCCGCAGTTGCGCCGCCCCCGGTCGACTGGCTCCAGCAGCGCCAAACACGAAGCGGTGGCCCTCGGAGAGAATTCCCCGCCGCGTGAACCTCCCGAGGGGGCCCACGAAGGTGCGCGCCGCACGGGGGGGGGGGGGCGGCGGCGATTGTGCTCCACTTCCTCATCGATCGAGCTTCCTGCGCCATTGTTGGGGCTGCTGCTCCTGGGCCGTTTCTCATTGCAGGGGGTGGATGGAAATTATGGGAGAGGTGCCACAGGAACATGTGGTGTGTGTGTGTGTGCCGTGAGATGTGTCGATCACAAAAGGTCCGAACAGTAGAAAAACCTCCACACAATCGCTCCCAAACACCCACCCATTGTAGCAGCAACAGGGCCCAGCTCCTGAACACCTCTCTACCCCCTGAGTGAGATTCTCCTGGGGATGCCACGCCTGTGTAAGCAATGTAATGCTGTTGTTGTTACCTAACTTCCGATTAGAAGTTGGAGAAATTAATGAACATATTTGCGTTGGAGAGTTCGCCCCAAATTGTTACACAGTCGCGCTGTGTTCTCGTGAGCGGAGGTAACCTCTTTAATGAGGGCATAAATGATGGTGCCTCCACCACCACCACCACCACGGTGTCTCCACCATCACTCTCTCCACTCTCAATCACTCTGCGTCTCTCCACCACGAACGGTGTCTCCACCACCACCAACCACCACCATCACGCTGTGTCCGTCCATTAATTATAACTGTCTCCACCATCCGCGTCTGCCCTCGTGTGCGTGTCGCCTCAACCTCACGCTCACCTTCCCTCCCCTGGCGAGTATGGCCTCGGTGAACGCATTCCCGAGCCCCTGGGCTGCGCCGCTCACCAGCGCCACCTTCCCCTGGAGCAGCATTGCGCCGGCTACGAGCTCCTCGCTCCGCTTCTCCTCCTCCTCCTCTGTGGCCTTCACACCGCTGTGGTGTGTCTCTCTCCCGGGGCTTGACGGCTCCCTCGCGTGCTCTGCTGTCTCCGACTCCTCCGACTTCTCTCTGCCTCCACTACCACCACCACCACCACGGTGTCTCCACCATCACTCTCTCCACTCTCAATCACTCTGCGTCTCTCCACCACGAACGGTGTCTCCACCACCACCAACCACCACCATCACGCTGTGTCCGTCCATTAATTATAACTGTCTCCACCATCCGCGTCTGCCCTCGTGTGCGTGTCGCCTCAACCTCACGCTCACCTTCCCTCCCCTGGCGAGTATGGCCTCGGTGAACGCCTTCCCGAGCCCCTGGGCTGCGCCGCTCACCAGCGCCACCTTCCCCTGGAGCAGCATCTCGCCGGCTACGAGCTCCTCGCTCCGCTTCTCCTCCTCCTCCTCTGTGGCCTTCACACCGCTGTGGTGTGTCTCTCTCCCGGGGCTTGACGGCTCCCTCGCGTGCTCTGCTGTCTCCGACTCCTCCGACTTCTCTCTTTAAAGGACAACTTCTGCCCGTGGCTGCTGCCGCTGCCGTGGACCTCCGCAATCTCCGCCTACACGAGGGGGGGAGGGGAATCGATTCCCCTGCCGCTGCCTGCGGTCAGAGAGCGCCGGGTCCCGGGGGTCAAGGAGAGTGCGAGGGGTGGGCGCCAGGGGGCGGTAGAACACAGCCACTCTCCTCCTCACTCTCCTCCTCCTCCTGACTCTCCTCATTCTTCACACTCACCAGACGCGATCACTCTCCTCACTCTCACGGGACGCGATCACTCTACTCACTCTCATGGGACGCGATCACTCTCAACACTCTCACGGGACGCGATCACTCTCCTCACTCTCATGGGACGCGATCACTCTCCTCACACTCATCACTCTCACGGGACACGACCACTCTCCTCACTCTCACGGGACGCGATCACTCTCATCACTCTCCTCACTCTCATGGGACGCGATCACTCTCCTCACTCTCACGGGACGCGATCACTCTTATCACTCTCCTCACTCTCACGGGACGCGATCACTCTCCTCACTCTCACGGGACGCGATCACTCTTATCACTCTCCTCACTCTCATCACTCTCACGGGACGCGATCACTCTCATCACTCTCACGGGACGCGATCACTCTCCTCACTCTCCTCACTCTCATGGGACGCGATCACTCTCATCACTCTCATCACTCTCACGGGACGCGATCACTCTCCTCACTCTCACGGGACGCGATCACTCTCATCACTCTCCTCACTCTCACGGGACGCAATCACTCTCATCACTCTCCTCACTCTCCTCACTCTCACGGGACGCGATCACTCTCATCATTCTCACTCTCCTCACTCTCACGGGACGCGATCACTCTCCTCACTCTCACGGGACGCGATCACTCTCATCACTCTCACGGGACGCGATCACTCTCCTCACTCTCCTCACTCTCCTGGGACGCGATCACTCTCATCATTCTCCTCACTCTCCTCACTCTCACGGGACGCGATCACTCTCCTCACTCTCCTCACTCTCACGGGACGCGACCACTCTCCTCACTCTCCTCACTCTCACGGGACGCGATCACTCTCATCACTCTCCTCACTCTCATGGGACGCGATCACTCTCATCATTCTCCTCACTCTCACGGGACGCGACCACTCTCCTCACTCTCCTCACTCTCCTCACTCTCACGGGACGCGACCACTCTCATCACTCTCCTCACTCTCACGGGACGCGACCACTCTCATCACTCTCCTCACTCTCCTCACTCTCATGGGACGCGATCACTCTCATCATTCTCCTCACTCTCCTCACTCTCACGGGACGCGATCACTCTCACGGGACGCGATCACTCTCCTCACTCTCCTCACTCTCACGGGACGCGACCACTCTTATCACTCTCCTCACTCTCACGGGACGCGACCACTCTCATCACTCTCATCACTCTCCTCACTCTCACGGGACGCGACCACTCTCATCACTCTCCTCACTCTCACGGGACGCGACCACTCTTATCACTCTCCTCACTCTCCTCACTCTCACGGGACGCGATCACTCTCCTCACTCTCACGGGACGCGACCACTCTCATCACTCTCCTCACTCTCACGGGACGCGACCACTCTTATCACTCTCCTCACTCTCCTCACTCTCACGGGACGCGATCACTCTCCTCACTCTCACGGGACGCGACCACTCTCCTCACTCTCCTCACTCTCACGGGACGCGACCACTCTCATCACTCTCCTCACTCTCACGGGACGCGTTCGTTAAACAAGCCTAGCGGCGGTCTGAGGGCGACACTGCGTTCTGATGCATTCTGATGCGGTACCGTTCTCTTCCTCTGTGCCCCCTGTTCTGTTCCTGTTCTATTCCTCTGTGTCCCCTGTTCTGTTTCTCTGTACCCCCTGTAATGTTTCCGTTCTGCTGTAATGTGCACTGATGCCCACTTAATGGAGGGCGATATTGGCAAGTACAATAAAGATTGATGGATTGATTGATAATGATGAAGCTTGTGCCTGGCTCAGTGCAGGCACACACAATAAATACGTAGGTATCTACCTAAGTGTAATGTTCCACCATCGCCGACCCCAGTTTGGCCTGGACACCTGTGCACAAGAGCTTCATAGCTCATCAGGTTCTTCCCAGGTTCAATCAAACAGCTACAGTGAGGGAAAAAAGTATTTGATCCCCTGCTGATTTTGTACGTTTGCCCACTGACAAAGAAATTATCAGTCTATAATTTTAATGGTAGGTTTATTTGAACAAGTGAGAGACAGAATAACAACAACAAAATACAGAAAAACGCATGTCAAAAGTGTTATAAATTGATTTGCATTTTAATGAGGGAAATAAATATTTGACCCCCTCTCAATCAGAAAGATTTCTGGCTCCCAGGTGTCTTTAATACAGGTAAAGAGCTGAGATTAGGAGCACACTCTTAAAGGGAGTGCTCCTAATCTCAGCTTGTTACCTGTATAAAAGACACCTGTCCACAGAAGCAATCAATCAATCAGATTCCAAACTCTCCACCATTGCCAAGACCAAAGAGCTCTCTAAGGATGTCAGGGACAAGATTGTAGACCTACACAAGGCTGGAATGGGCTACAAGACCATTGCCAAGCAGCTTGGTGAGAAGGTGACAACAGTTGGCGCGATTTTTCGCAAATGGAAGAAACACAAAAGAACTGTCAATCTCCCTCGGCCTGGGGCTCCATGCAATATCTCACCTCGTGAAGTTGCAATGATCATGAGAACGGTGAGGAATCAGCCCAGAACTACACGGGAGGATCTTGTCAATGATCTCAAGGCAGCTGGGAACATAGTAACCAATAAAACAATTGGTAACACACTACGCCATGAAGGACTGAAATCCTGCAGCGCCCGCAAGGTCCCCCTGCTCAAGAAAGCACATATACATGCCCGTCTGAAGTTTGCCAATGAACATCTGAATGATTCAGAGGACAACTGGGTGAAAGTGTTGTGGTCAGATGAGATCAAAATGGAGCTCTTTGGCATCAACTCAACTGGCCGTGTTTGGAGAAGGAATGCTGCCAATGACCCCAAGAACACCATCCCCACCGTCAAACATGGAGGTGGAAATATTATGCTTTGGGGGTGTTTTTCTGCTAAGGGGACAGGACAACTTCACCGCATCAAAGGGGCGATGGACGGGGCCATGTACCATCAAATCATGAGTGAGAACCTCCTTCCCTTAGCCAGGGCATTGAAAATGGGTCGTGGATGGGTATTCCAGCATGACAATGACCCCAAACACACGGCCAAGGCAACAAAGGAGTGGCTCAAGAAGAAGCACATTAAGGTCCTGGAGTGGCCTAGCCAGTCTCCAGACCTTAATCCCATAGTAAATCTGTGGAGGGAGCTGAAAGTTTGAGTTGCCAAACGTCAGCCTCAAAACCTTAATGACTTGGAGAAGATCTGCAAAGAGGAGTGGGACAAAATCCCTCCTGAGATGTGTGCAAACCTGGTGGCCAACTACAAGAAACGTCTGACCTCTGTGATTGCCAACAAGGGTTTTGCCACCAAGTACTAAGTCATGTTTTGCAGAGGGGTCAAATACTTATTTCCCTCATTAAAATGCAAATCAATTCATAAGATTTTGACATGCGTTTTTACGGATTTTGTTGTTGTTATTCTGTCTCTCACTGTTCAAATAAACCTATCATTAAAATAATAGACTGATCATTTCCTTGTCAGTGGGCAAACATACAAAATCAGCAGGGGATCCAATACTTTTTTTCCTCACTGTAATTTAAAACACACTTCTTTCTAAACAGCATCATCAGAAACAGCAGCAGCAACAATAATTTTAGTCGCCATTCTCACAGCACATTTACGATGCATGACTTTCTGCGCGTAGAATACAAACATTAACGAGATAAAAGGTTTCGAAACAGTGCGCAGAGGTCACCAACAAACCACAGCGCGCCTGCGGCGTTTCTTTGTTGTTTAACGCACGAGGCTCTTCCTGAAACGCCTATCCATTGAAGAGCTCTGCAAAGCTCAGGACTTCATTGATCTATTCAGTGGATCTGCGTGACGGTCGACCTGTTTGCTCACTGGACTCGAATGCCCCAGCATTTAAACCCTCACGCACACGACGAACTTTGCAAGAAGGAGCCCATGTTCACGTAACAGCCAGAGTTGTCCCTAGGGTACGGTACGGGCGAATCAGGGGTAACCGCCCGGGCCCCGTGCATGGGGGGGGGGGGGCGCGTTTCGAAGAAGTCAGTGTCAGATGTAACACTTCCAGTTTAGTTTGAAAGCTTCGGGGGGCCCACACAGTGGGGTTTGCCCCGGGCCCCGCCTGCCCCCCCCCCCCCCCCCCCCCCCCCGATGCTGGATTAAGCTAGTGCGGGGCCTGTAGCATATGTTATAAAGGGGCACTAAATGGAAGAAAAAAACACATAAATATGAAAACACGCATTTTTTACTTCCATAGTAAAGTAATTGTATTTTTTCATTTGCTATACAGCCAGATAATACGACAAATCGCTAACCTTAAACACCCAGTCGTTCATAAAAGTTCAAGGCAGCATAGCACTATAGTAATAGAGCAAGTGCAGAATCACTGAATTGATAGCTTGAAAGCATTTAGCGCGGAGCCCTTGAAAGTGCGGGGCCGGTAGCATTTGTAGGTACTCTTGATCCGTCACTGCCCCCCCCACCCCCCGCCTATGGATACAGCAATAGGGGCAGCATGCTTACCACACAACCCAGACACCACAGGGGACAAACGCCTATTCATTCAACTCAAGCAATAGTCATGTTTACAGTAACAGGCCGAGTTCACAAGCATGCGTAAATGCAGAACGCTGCTAAATTCACGTTGTCTTACCGCTTATAAAACAAATCACAAAATGGCACGAAACGTCAGCGAGCATGGTAATGGTGCCACGCGTACAGGCTTCAGAAAGAGCCGTAATCGATACGCACGGGGTACACCTGGGACGTGCGGTCAGGGGAGGCAGGGGAGGCAGAGCCTCACCTGTCATACTCCAAAAAAAATAGCTGTTACGAAAAGTAAAAAAAAAGAAACATCAAATCAAATAAATATTAAGATTTTTCCACTGATCTGTGTTATAAATGTCATTGCTGTACGATTCCAATCATTTTTATAGTCAAAATCGCCTAATTTGAGGAGCTCCGCTGCAAATACAGGAAGAGACGATGAGCTCAGCCTCCCCTCTGATTGCGCAACCCCTCAGGAACTGGATGGAGCGCGGGCAATAAGCGCGTGCCTGTTACTATCTCAGTATGTCACCAATGTAATGTTTGTAGACCCCTTCATTTCATGTCCTCGCCTCCCATACTCCAGGTAACTTATTTCACGTATGTGAATAAATATATCTAGGCTCGCTGGTCTCGTTATGAAACTGCAATGAAAAAGCACCAGGGGAGGCAGCTATTACATCTGCCTCACTGAGGGGGACGTGTCTAACACGCCCCCCTAAGTGAGGCCACGCCCCTCAGTGAGGCCACGCCCCCCTCAGTGTGTGACTCTGGCTCTGACACGAGGCAGTGCCTCCCCAGCCATTGACCTCATCGCACGCCACTGGGGTAAACAGGTAGAACCCCATTCGGGGAACCTTGGAGAGTTGCTGTTACAGAACTCCGCAATCAACCACAGCCATTCTTGAATTAATTTTGCTAAACAGGGCCACGACCACCTTTTTGGGAAAGCATTGCTCCAATCTCTGAAATCAGGGGCTTGTCTTTCAGAATAAAGCTACCTAGGTGCACCAACAATTAACTTCCATCAGTATCAGATGTCACAAACTTCTCTGCACACAAAAGTGATGTTTAAATACTGCACTCGCTACAAAACCTACTGAAACCGCTACAAGTGGCTGATGATTAACCATTCTGTGGGTCAGATGCTTATGTGCATCATACCCCCCTTCCACCCAACTATATAATCAAACTTGTCACGTGAACAAACATGCCGATGTATTACTGCTTCAGCACTCCGCTGCTGATGAAGAGCGATTCGCAGCAATTCAAGAAGCTCCGTGTTTCACTGGTAGCTTACATCCAGCATCAGGCGATTTCCACAATTTAAACAAAAAAAACATTGACGTTTTCGTTCGTATGACAACTTCATTTACTTGGCTGTATCGGGTGGAGGAGGGTGCATGGCACACATTGCCATTTGTTTTTACTCACGCGATCTGATCCAAAAAAATCGATTATTAATCATAACAGTTTTTTTTTTAACATTATGCTTCACACATAAAAAACACAAATATTCTGATGTACATGCATTCATTCTGCTTCCTCCGGCCGGGAAGCGTTGTGCCAGATTGCTCGACTTACAATGTAAATAAAGGGTTTGAGTTTAAGTTTTTCGGGATGTCAATAGTGGTCACGAACAGTGGTTGTCACTGGGACAGATTGGAATCCACCAAAATAATGTGGAATGTCCACCACTGGCTCAAAGCTGCTCACCGAGGCAAGCACCATGAGAGACACTTTGGCTTTTGTCATGTTGCTTTAGTTTCCGAATCCAGTTTCAGTAGATGATTACAAAAAAAGTCAATTAGGTTTCGATCCTCAGCACAAGGGTCTCAGAGTCTTCAATCAAGGCAGATTAATTGCATGCTTCAGAGTAAATGATTAGTTTATCCTATACAGTATAGCCTTGCAACAAAAAAAAACATCTAATAGTTTCCCAATTAGTTTACGCGGAAATGGATCCAAACGGGATGTAATCAACCACATTGTGAACGTGCCGCATGGACTTAGCACCCGAGTCGTGTCGACGTTCCGATGCGGTCTATCTTCAACCCAAAACAACCGTTTCGCCCCTTTCTGGCCTCCCGACCTTTCTTGCGCGCTTTCCCGTCTTCCTGCAGCGCCCTGCGATTCACGAGGCCGATTTTCCTCGACGCTTGCCTCGACAAGGCGGTGCGATCCCAGCTCGCCTCGTGCTCCCGCCGTCGAAGCAATGCTCGCGACACCACCGCGTAGCCGCCCGGGCCGCCGAGCTGCCGGCGCGCTTTGCCGTTGGGCTCCTCGTGGCGTCGGCCCAACCGCCCGCCGCCGTTCATCCGCGACCCTTTGCGGGTTCGGCCGCGAAAGCGCCGTTGGTATTTCAGGAAATCCGAGATGAGCTGGGACCAGTGCAGTGTCGGGTCGTGGCTGGGGCCCTGGCGGCTCTCGCGGTCCGCGTGGAGCGGCCGCTCAGCGGAGCGCTGGCGCCCCCTGCCGCCACCTCCAAGCACCGGCACGCGCGAAGCCGCTGCCAACGGGCGAGCGTCGCTCGGAGACGTCGCTTTTTGATCCGGCGCCAAATTAGATTTGCCAGCATATTCCGTCTCGCCGTGAGCCTCGTGATCGTTTGCTATAATGGAGTGGTCGTATTCAGCTTTGTGTTTGGAGATTTTGAATTTTGTGTCTCTGTCTGCCACCTCGAATTCATTGCCTTTGGGTGACCGTTGAGATGTGGTCAATGCGTGAATGCCCCCGCTGTTTAATAACGCCCTCAGAGGTGTTCTATACGCAGAGGCTAAAGTGGTATCATTTACGCCTTTGTGAAGATTTGCTTTGGCAGAAACATTCGTAAATTTGGGAGGCATTCCAGATTTCACTGGTTTGGAGGTGAAATTGAATACAGTAGCTTGAGGAGGGGATGTTTTAGTACTCATTTTTATACCATCTCCATCTCTTCCTGCGGCCAATGTTGGGATTTGTGTTGCACGGTTCATTTTGTTCCTGAGTTCCACGGTGAAGACTGGAGCCTGTGTATCACTTGCAACCGTTCCTCGTTTAACCGCCGACCGCGAGATGTGTGCTTGTGTTTCGCTTGGACCGATTCCATCTTCACTTTTAGATCCATCGCCTTTGATTGAGGAGTTTATTTTGCCACGCAGTATCCTTGGAGGGATCACGAGATCCATCTGCTTCTGAAGAATCTTTTTTTGGGGGGACGGGGGTTAGAGGGGGGGGGGATATGGAGGAAAGACAAGCGTAGAGTGACATGACGATGGAAAATACATGTACAAGCGATGTTAGTTTGTGTTTCCAATGCAACGGGGCTCAATTGTTGGCAAGGAGAGGTCATCACACTTCTGAGTGCCTGTAGGCCAGGTGGCCTGCGTTGTTTTGCATCCAGCGTGTTGTGCACGTAAAGGATATACACAGCACATGAACTAAACTGTAAACTATATTTGATTTATTTTAACCAAGTAAGGCTAAATGAGCTATTTAGCTATTTTTTAGAAGCGACCTGGCTACCACATGCTAGCACAACGAAGTGGCTTATCAAGTGGAAATTTGTAGCAGTAGCCACATACACTAAACGCATGTTTCTAAACATTGGGCGTACATAATTTGACACCCATAAAAGCAACGTGCTGCAGTGTATTTATTTGATCATGAGTCATTTATGAGTTAGGGACCCGTGTGGTAGACTAAGGTTGGGTAGATGATGTTAGTTGCTTTGCTGGTCAAGCAAAGTTGATGTGCAGTGATTAGGTAATGGGACTCAACTATATCAAGAGTCATGATTCCCAGAATAAGACAAATTCTAACATCATTTAAATGTAACGCTCTCCCACGTGAATAATGGAGCCATTAATGTCACCGGCTCATTTGCAATCCGCTAAGCACGTCCCCTGCTCACCACAGTCCCACGGCCGCAGAAACAGCCTCATAAGAGGCGTGCTGTGGCTCTGACACTCACACATTCACAAAACTATGCTCAGATGTGTTTAAATATTTCCATTTTCCAACGGTGAACTCAGCGAATAAACTCGGGTTGCCACCTGTCTCGGTTTGACCCGGAGAGTGCCAGAATCAGGACGATCGGCGTTCGTGTGGCAGGGATTGATTGGGCTCGGCGGATCTGCTACTTTGTATCATGTGAACATTTATTACAGTAGACCGCACAGTTTTAATAATATAATAGACCACGGCTGAGATATATCTCGGGTTTTTGTTTATCGTGGAATAGGTGGAAATCCCTACAATCAACTTATGGAACACTGAAGTTTACATACTCGTGGTAAGGAATGGACACCAGATAGTCACAAACGCATCGATGACTGCAGCAGCAAGCCTGCTGTTGAGGCTTAAGGACACTTACGCCAAAGGGTGGAGTGCTATTAATAGTCACATTTTTTAATTTAGTGTTGCTATTTAAAATCCCTCAAAGCAGCAGCTGTATACAAACGTGATTTAACTTTAGATCTATCCACCACCACCGCTGCTGACATTATGAGCCTGTGCGCACACATAGCGTCGTGTACACTACTGCTGCAACGCGCGACGATTTGATGCGACGCTCAGTGTACGGCACTCGCTCATACGGACGGGGGTGGGGGGGCGGGTATTTTATAGATGTTTAGAACTTCCACGCACTTGGGTGGGACTGCCAAGTCATAACCATCACCACATTATAACCAGAACCACATTTTAACTTCAAGCATATAACCACAACAGCCAAAATATAACCACAGTATAACCACAAGAGGCACATTATAACCACAACTAAAACCACAACATAACCACCACATTATAAACACAAAATCCACATAACTACAACAGCCACATTATAACCACAACCATTGAAACCATAACCACAGGATAACCACATCATAACCCCAACCACAGTATAAATAAATATAACCGATACTGCATTACAACCACAAACATAACGGGTTTCTAATAATCATCATCACCGTGATGACAACCACATAAGAACAACCTTACATTGCCGCAAGAGAGCACACACGCCGTCTAAATATCATCTCCCATGGTAGCCGATCACGGGGTCAGACGGCTCACTGTTGGATCACACTGCTCACCGCGGGGTCACGCGGCTCACTGCGGGGTCAAACGGCTCACAGCGTGGTCACACGACTTATTGCAGGGTCATACGGCTCATTGTGGGGTCACACGGCTCGCCTCGTGCTCTCAGCGTCCAGCGAGGTAGCGAGGTTGAGCCGCGCGATTTTTCTGACTATATCAGTGCCCCTTATTGATTACTGTATTTTGAAATGGTCCCAAAAAGAAAATGAAGTGGTAGCGAATCGAGTGAAAATGAGCAGACCAAAGGTGATGTCTCTCTTGGCGAGAAAGTTGAATTATCAGAACGACTCAGAAAGTTAGGAGTTTCTGCATCAGAATTAACCCTTGTCTTTATTTTCAGCTTTACTTTTAGGCATACATGTACAGTACACGTATACCTGTTAACTACATTCAATGTATGTAATTCTATGCATTTACTGTACGAGTTATATTAACACTATCGAAAATATTAATAATATTTACATTAAAAAATACTACCTGTTGAATGTGTTGGGTTGATGTAGGGTAACGTTAAACAAAAGGAGGGGTGAGTTGGTAGATGTCATATTGCGACAACCATGAACCAAACCCCCTAGTTTTCCCTTATTTTTATTTTATGGATTGCGGATTTTGCCGATTTGTGGCGACTTTCAAGAACGCAAACTGGTCCACGGTCAAAAAAGGGAGAGGAGTTAGCCGACGGTGGAGAGACGAGGCGAATCAGTGGGGGGCTGGGCTGGCAGCACGCAAGACTAAGAGAGCCCCCCCGATTGTTCACTCTGACCACAGCCATTCTGGGAAGTTGTGAGATTAGCAAAGGGTGAAGGGATTGGCCAGGCGAGACAGAGAATGTGGAAATGAAGACGGGTTAGGGATGGAGAAATAGGTGATGAGTATTATTGGTGGTGGAAGCGGGAACTTGGGCGGAGGGTTCTAGGAGATTCCAGAAGGCTCAGGGGGAGAGAGGAGAAATGCGTATGGGCATGTGACATTAGCACTGCGGCTCTGGTCGAGATAGTGGCAGGAGTAGACATGCGGCAGAATGAAGTGGAAAGGAGATTGTTGTGCGGTGTTTAGAGATCGTTGGTCAATAACGTACCTCTCAGGGAACCAACTTCTGAACCTGCTTTACTTAACTATAACCACATATAAAATAAAAAATATATATATCACGACGTTTCGATCGCAACACAAGCGGTCATCCTCAGGCGGAAAAAAATATCCAGCAGTGGAACTGCTGAAACAGCGAGAGAGCAGCTACAACAAGCGCGGCATCTCTTGAGAAAGGTGAGCGAGTCGATCAGGTGAGCCTTCTTGTCTCGCAGTCTGTTAAAAGATCTAACAGATGTGTGGAAACCCTCTCCGTAGAGGCGGTTCAATCTTGATTTGAAGCTTTCGTGACTGCAGGAATCCATACTCTTTGGTTATTTCGGTGAAGTCACGTAGGTAGAAAAATTAAATAAAAAATAATATATCACGACGTTTCGATCGCAAAACAAGCGGTCGTCATCAGGCGGAACTAATCCAGTAGTGGAACTGCTGAACCAGCCAGAGAGCTGTTACAACAAGCGCGGCATCTCTTTGTCTACCTACGTGACTTTACCGAAAGAACCAAAGAGTATAACCACATAGCCACAACAATAAGCGCATTCTAACCAAAACCCATAACCCTATTATCACCACCACCATTAGCAACAACCACGGCTTGTGCGATGGAAGTTGGCGCGTTAAATGCATTTCCCTGGACGGTATCAACTGAGCCAGAGGTGGGGTGAGGCGGGGTTGAATGTGAGCGTTGCCAAATGAATGTAAGTCCACTCGAGGTGCTCTTTGGACAAGGGCTATATTGAACAATCTAAAACGCAAAGACCCCCGAGTAGCCTCAACAGATTGTGTTGCAAGTGCTGTTAACGAAGGCCGGAACGGTCCACGAGGGGGTGGTGTGGCCAGCACCACGCCCGACCGCATTTGTCTCCCTAGTGGTCGATGTTTACACACCGCACCGGGTACTCATTTGAGGCTGAGTATACCTAGGGGAGGCCCAGTACCAGTTCAGATAATCGTCACCGGTGATGACCATGATCAGGAATCAAACCCGTTCTCGCTGGGTTCGTAGCGCAGTGCGCTTGCCGCTACGCCACCACTCCAGCCCTCACACTACAGCACATTCACATGAAGCCACCTCTCTCCAAGAACCCCGAGCACGCCTCACACCCCACTTATATATACTCTATCTTTGTGCAACCTTCCAGTAGCTGTTTTAGTATTGCCTTCAATTGTGAACAATAACCGTATCGGACATGAGTACATCTTATCGGCATAATCATTGGTTCACGGCAGCTCAAAGACTCAGTCCTTACAAGGCGTGTGGTGAAGTTAGGAGATGTCCATGTGTGTGCTCGGTATTTGAAGGTCTGAAGACCAGAATCGGTGATTTCGCCGACAATGTGTTCAGTGAGGCCGTTCTGTATCCGGACAGCAGAGTGAAGAAGGGAGCTTCTGTCCAGGGAGCATGTTCTGGAAACTGGGCGGGGCGGGGGGGCCGTTGCCAGAACAACCAATCCGCTGCTTTCCAATTGTCTTCGAGTGCCATTTAATACATTACTTAAACTTTTTAAAACTAAACAATGTTTAGTTTTAAAAAGTAAACAACGTGTTAAATCTTGACTTAAAGCTTTCGTGACTGCAGGAATTCATATTCTTTGGGTCTTTCGGTAAAGTCACGTAGATATAATAATAAAAATAATAACAATATCACGACGTTTCAATCGCAACACAAGCTATCGTCATCAGGTGAAAAAATATAGCGAGAGAGCTGCTGAGGCAGGAAAAATATATGATATCACGACGGATCGAAACGTCGTGATATTGTTATTATTTTTATTATTTTTTCTATATACGTGGCTTTACCGACTGACCCAAAGAATATAAACAATGTGTTGTTATTTTAACAGTTAAGGCCCCCACTGAGATATTTTAGCTCTTTTTCAGAAGCGACCTGGCTATCAAAAATAATAGCTAAACGAAGTGGCATATCATGTGGATATGTATAGCAGCCAAATAGTCTTCAACACATGTTTCTAAATGTAGAGGGAAAAATTGGAGGACCTGGAGAAAAATCCAC